GAGAGAGAGAGAGAGAGAGAGAGAGAGGAAGAGAGAGACAGAGACAGAGACAGAGAGAGACACAGAGACACAGAGAAACACAGAGAGAAAGAGAGAGAGATAGAAAGAAAAATAGCGAGAGAGAGGGGGAGAGGAGCGGATTGTAAGGGAGGGATAGAGATAGAAAAAAGATAGAGAAATTAATAATGATAAAGACATACAGATAGACAGACAGACAGGCAACAGACTATGAGTTACAGTATGATTTAGCAACCCCGTAGCACTTACGAGAAACAGTACTCCGAACAACACTTCGTTTCTCAAATCAAACTGCGTAGGCACACGATGTCGCAAGTGGCACTCACGTTATTATTATTTTGAAAGGCTAATATTAGAGACATAGAACTAAATGGGATTTGTCCCCACGGATTCTCTTTATTCTACTTGACAGTGGACTTGTTCAGCGACGCATTATGTATCACAAAACGCCATTTGAGGATTTTTTTTTCCGTCCCTGTTTCACCAAACTTAACTTGTCACTTCGGCTGAGCCCGACAGAGTGAGGAGATTTCCATATAAAGCATTTCCTCGTCAGTCTGCAGGCTCCAACTGTTCAAAGGTTTGATCTCTGTGCGAAGTGTTGAGTGGCCAGTTTGTGCTCGCTGATGAGAGAGACAAGCAACAAAAAAATGTTTGTCTCTTCGAGGTTCTCTTTCTTCTTGAAAAAATAAGGTTTCTGTTTTGCAGTTTTTGTTGTGTACATGGTAAGTGGTTAGAGCGATGTGGAAACGAGTTTACAAGGATAATAAAATATTGTCCACCAAGGCTGTTAAAGTGTATTTTAAGATTATTTTATAAACATAGATAGTATCAAATCATTTGTAATGCGTTAAAACATACTAAGCCCAGTTAACAAAATGTTACAAGAGAGAAGAAAAACTGTTTCATTCTTTTATCAACTGTACAAAGATCTATGAATGAAGTTTGGCCTCCCTTTTTTATACTTACTCGTAGATTTGAATTTCGATGAAATATTTCTAGAACACATGCAACCAATACCACAGACTAAGAAACTGCAATGAAATAATGTCCAAAATATTGGCCTTAGTACAGTTTAACACCTGGCTGGCAATTTATAAAACGTTTGCCTTATACAAGATGGTAGATATAAAGATATTACTTTTCTTGTTTCTTGAGGAAGAAATGTTATCAAAATGTCGTAGTTGGTCAGCCTTTTCACCTAGATGGTATTAATAGTATGCTTTGCCCTTCTTCCCCTATCAGTAATAGAGATTTAAGTAAGCCCAACTGTTACTACTGAGGGTACAAATCCTAATCACAATTTGAAAGACGCCACGAATTACGAAAGTTTATGTTCAATTTGTTCAATTTAAACAATGCTCGAAAATAGACACAGGGTGATTAGCGATGATAGAAATGTGCAAGTGCTTTCAACAAAATAGAAACTTTAGGAGGGTTGATTTGACCTACATGAGCCAGAAAAAAAAAGAATAAATCAATGAATTAAATTTGATAGTGCATAATATTTTACATCCGATCGACACAATTTAGACTATCAAAGAGACCGGTTGCTTCGATCCTGCCTGTGAAGGTCAACTGGCGCTGCAAGGGATACAACTCCCCAGCTGACAGACGGACATACACGATAAAGAAAAATCCCTCCCTTCACGGAACCGAGCTCACGTCATCTGCATGCAACAGCAAAACGCAAAACCGCTGCAGCGCAGACGACTTGCCAAATTAGCATTAGAATACACTAGTTGTTGTTTTTATTGTTTTTCACTCGATCGAACTAACAAAGGGGCCAGGCCTGAGAACAATAGGCTGACGATGACATATTTTATATTTAGGGCGGTTCTGTGACTACCAGACAAAAGGACAATAAACAGAAAAAAATGTGCAAAAGCTATGTAAATGACTGAATTTATGGAATAATGTCGACCTTACATTTTTTCCTCGCTGATGAAAACAATTACCTTGCCAAATACTGAAGCATTTATAACATTCACTGAACCAAGACCACCTGTTTGAATTTCAAGAATGACGTCCGGTTCTTTGTCTAGTTGAAGTTAGACGCAAAATGAACCCAACAGGTGCCAGTTTCAGTGAATGCTCGATCGTCAATCATTCTTATTCCTCCCACGGTCCTCCTGTCACTTGGCGCCACTCGGCATATATGTAAGCTCACGTACATGCTGTTGCTCTTCTAGTGACAAGGTGTCTGATTGGGAAGTAGTTTGATACAGTGAGTGAATTTCGGTTACTATTCGGATGGTTGGAGGGAGTTACTGGTAGGTCCTACTTCCTGTCTTCCTCTTTGTTGTTTCTGCCTATATGCCTTACTCTTTCCCAGGAATGAATGACTGTTATTGTGCCAATGTGTTTGTCGTAACACATACATCAAAACAAACTCTGTCATTGTGATATATTTTATGGGAGATGTAATATCTAAAGCCAAACATCTTTGTATGATTTGCTGTCTGGTTACAGGCTGTTCAGCACCCTGACGACTGGCTGAAAACATAAAACGTAACAAAATTAAGTTTGTCAATTATGTTTGTTTATACATGTTCAGGTTATCTGCCTGCACCTTTGAGTGTTTATTCTTGTGAACCTTTATTGATCCTCATTGGGTCTTGCAGGAGGGGATGGGTGTTACAGTGTAAAAGAAAAGAAACCTTTCCTGATCCATGGTTGTATTATTTCATGCATTCTTGATACACTTGAGACTACTACAACTACAGAACTGCTGGTAGAATTGACGGAGATTTTCTTGACATAGTAATAGTAGTAGCCGTAGTAGTAATTGTAGTAGTAGTAGTAGTAGTAGTAGTAGTAGTAGTAGTAGTAGTAGTAGTAGTAGCAGTAGTAGTAGTAGTAGTAATAGTAGTAGTAGTAGTAGTATAGTAGCAGTGATTTTCATAATAAAGTTTCCCTTCTTTATAACTTCAAAACTGTTCCTCATAAAACGCTGGATTTTTAAGAAGTCATAGAAGTATATTGTGTGACCTCTGTGCCAAAAGCTGTTGTACTTGTTCCTTTTTTACTTGAGTTATGGCGTGTCAAACATGTTAACCTTACTAGTCCAAGGGGAAACAACAGTGACAATGGCGCAGAAGGGGGAAGGAATTAAATTAATCCACTTTGTGTCCTTTGACAATGTGTTGCCAGTTACTATTGGCATCACTATCAATGCTGAATACCACAGGTCATTACGGTAATGTAAGATAAAGCAAAACTAAGGCCCGCCGTTTACAAAAAGAAATCCGGTATGCTGGACTCTGGCGCTATCTTCTACCATGACAAAGGATTTGTCCACGAATCCGGACAGGTCTGTGAACTTTTGGGAGCTTTTCATGAGATTTTCTGGCTGGAGAATACACCCTGTTCGCTAGATATCGTCCCTTACAATTGTGGCTTTTTTCTGTTACGTAAACTGGAAGAATAAATGCTATGTGGTCAGAGATTTGAGGACACCTAATATGCAATTTAAGAGAAAAGGACTGAAGGGTCTTGGACATGGGTAACTGGTTCATATTTCCCAACACTTGGTGCATCTCATAGAAAAATGCGGAGACCATATTAGAATATAAACTTTTGAATTGGTAACATTACTAAGCTTATTTTAACATTCGTAAATGATTTTGATCAAACTGTATTGAGCGATATAACGCTGGGAGGCTTGTTTATGAGACGCACCACGTAAACAGCAGTAAACGCCACTGGGCAGAACATTTATGCGGGCCCTGTTTTCCCTTCCTATAGGCGTATTGGTATGACCTATGATGCACACCCAAATAAATTTTTTTTTTTATGGAGAGTGAAGAGAGCGGTGGCCACGACTGTGATACAATTTAGGAACAGATTATTGGGTAGGAATGAGTTTTTTGGCAGAAACCATGTTCGCCGATAACGATATTATAGGGCCTGGTTTAGGGGTACCGGTCATGGTACATATAATGCACATAAAAGCCGATGATATTTCTGAATGTTCTTGGGTGTGCTGGGGGTAATAACGGCGCTTATACATGCGCTATTTCAATTTCAACCCAATTAATATGGATAAAATTAAACCTAATGGCTTGAGAGCCTTGAGTTCACCCACAATCAATCTAAGATTCGATAAAAGGCCACCCGCTATGTAATAATAATAATAA